CTTGGATTTATTTTCAAGTTGTTCCATCTGGTTCATGTGGGGATTTGGAGATAGTGAAAACCGTGCCTTCATGGGCTGCCATCTTTCCAGAATGCCTCCCAGTGCTACTATTTTAACACATTTAAAAAAATCGTACATAAGCAGGGAGATGGCTGTAACAGTTTCTCAGGTGGAGAATAGAAAAGAAGACATGTTCACCAATACTGCCACTTCTGGATGAGAGAAGAGGAAGAGAGAAGAGGAAAAGCTCCCAAAATTCTGGTTGAAGGTCCCTTCAACGAGGAGCCTGCTGTTTTATTTTTAATTTCATTTGTTTTTAGTAATTGAATTCTCGAAGAGCTTGATTTTTTCATTCAGAAACAGGATTACTGCCTCTGAGCCTGGGTCATGTCCTCTTGCTGTTTCATAGCATCCTTAGTCATGCCATGTTCTTTGAAGCCAGACTTTGAAATATTTTAAAAATAAGTCTTGTTACCTACATGGTGTCTGTTTGGGCTCCGTCTGGCTTTGCTTTCTTAGGATGCTTGTTCTGCTTACGATGGGGGAACTGTAGCCTCCCCTGTCGGGTGTTTTATCAACAAGCAGCCTATTATGTCCTTTGTGCTTATACTGTGAGCAAAATATAAGATACGGTCCTTGCCCTGAGGGTGTTTGGTTCATCTCGTCTGTCTCTTGGACTGATGCAGTAGGAAGCCAGAGAACAGTGTCTTGTGGACTCTTCCCCTCCACTGCTACCCCAACTCTGAATACCGATGAACATATTGTGCCAATTAAACACAACTAGATCTTTGAATTTACAGTCCTGATTTGGTTTGGAGTTTAGTGGTACGTTGTCATTATCGACTTCCAAGATTCTAAATGAAAGTCTGGATTAACCAATGTAGATCCTCATCAACTCGAGGGATGTATTTGCTCCTGAGTGGTCTACACTGCTGTCCATGCTTCCTCAGCTGTGAGACGTGATAGGTTCTCTTCCACATTATGTTTAAGATAGCAGTCAAGTAGTACCTTTCTTTTTTTTTAAGTGTTTATTTTTAAAATTTTATTTATTTATTTGAGATAGAGAGGGAGAGAGAGAGAACATGAGTGGTGGGGACGGGCAGAGGGAGAGGGCTGAGCAAGGAGCTGGACGTGGGGCTTGATCCCAGGACCCTGAGATCATGACCTGAGCGGAAAGCAGGTGCTTAACCAACTGAGCCACCCAGGCACTCCTTGTAGTACCTTTCTAATTGTACTTCCTACCATTTAAAATCGGGTGAAAGCGCAAATGGCAACTCTATAATGTTATGTTTTAGCCTATTTTTTTTTAAAGATTTGTTTATTTATTTATTTGAGAGAGAGTGAGAAAGAGAGAGCACATGAGAGGGGAGAGGGTCAGAGGGAGAAGCAGACTCCCTGCTGAGCAGGGAGCCTGATGTGGGCCTCGATCCCAGGACTCCAGGATCATGACCTGAGCTGAAGGCAGTTGCTTAACCAACTGAGCCACCCAGGCTCCCTAGCCTATTTTGTTTTTGAGTAAAACTCCTTGGATGGTTCCTAACCAAAAATTTAGTTTCTTGCAACTGACAAAACAGATGACTTCTTTCAAGAAGAAGAATCCAAACAAGAATCAAAAATGGCCAGTTATGTTTGTAGACAAACTATTTATAGATTTACTACAGCCTTCTTCTCAGTAGAGTGATGGTGAAGAAGACAGTTTGGGACTCACTGCCAATTTTCAGATACCAGCTCCACCATTTTGTAGTGCATAGGTATGTGACAGTGGGCAGTTTTCATTCTTTCTCCATTTCCTCATATGTAAAATGTGATAGTAATGGTCCCTACCCCATAAGGTTAATGTGAGGATTAAGTGAGATAATGTATGTATACAATGGATCCTCATCTATTGGTTTGATGGATAAAAATGGAGTGTCTGATTTTTTAGGCATGGTACTGGTCAACTGGGATATAAAAATGAGCAAAAATTGGGGTGTCGGTCTCAGTCGGTTAAGTGTCCAATTCTTGGTTTCAGCTCAGGTCATGATCTCAGGGTCCTGGGATTGAGCCCCACCTTGGGCTCCATGTTCGGCGGGTGGTGTGCTCGTCTCCCTTTCCCTTTGCCCCCCCCCTGCTTATGCTCTCTGTCTCTATAATAAATAAATAAATCTTTTAAAAATGAGCAAAATTCCTTCACTTGGAACTTTACAGTTAGACGAGGGGACTGATTAATTAGCAATGACACGAAGGAATATAACGTTGCGACCGCAATAAATGCAATAGAGAGGCACGAAGCACTTCAGGGACATATAATAGGGAGAGGAGCTGTCTAGGAGATTAAGGAAAGTTCCTGTGGGAAGCCCGAGTTCAAATGTAAAGAAAAATAGATGGGAATGAATTAAGAGAAGGTGTGTGTTTGCCACATGTGTGGGTGAGCACGTGTAGGATGAGAGTGTCCCATTCAGAGAGGTGAGCATGGAGAATGGTTCTGAGGCAGGAGGGTGCTTGCTGACTGTAAAGAACTGAAGAGGCCTGTGGATGAAGGGAAGGGTGCAGTGGGCAGTGTTACCTGAGACGAGGCTGTAGCAGGCGGGAGGGAACGAGTGGTCACAGCTCGGGGGCCTTTCTAGGCTATGTTTAGGAATGTGGTCTAGCAAACCATGTTAGGTGTTTGAATTCTGGAGAGACATTTGCAAAAATCTATTATTGTTGTTTTTGGGTTTAAAAAAAAGATTTATTTATTTACTTGGGGAGGGGCAGAGGGAGGGGGAGAATCTCAAGCAGACTCCCTACTGAGCACGGAGCACCCAAGGGGCTAGATCTTCTTACACTGAGATCATGACCTGAGCCAAAATCAAGAGTCAGCCATTAACTGACTGAGCCACCCAGGCACCCCTGTTGTTGTTATTATTATTATTTTTATTCCTTAGCAGTCCTTTGCATGCTAAATATGTTATATACATTAATGTTTATTTATTGATTCTTTCCTCCAATCTCTATTATTGTTCTTCTCTGAATGCTTAATTCCTCATTCCTTCCATTTAGGAACAAAGCTGAGAAGATAGCTTTGTTTTCTTTCAATCAGCTTTACTATTTGAAGTGGAATTTGCTTTTGTATAACTTTAGGCAAGATAAATGAAAAACAATTGCCAAAATATTACCTGCTGTGACACACATAAATATTTTATGCCTCTTTGCCTTTGTGAAATGCTCAAATGCTGTCATTTGTTACTTGTCTAACTTAAACAAACCAAAGCCAGAATCATTAGAAATTTTGGTGTCCTGTGTTGGCAGGAAATTCAGACTGATTTCACATGTTTTGAGCTTACCCAGAACCAACTTTTGGAATTCAAGGCCTGTGGTCGACTCTGTGCGACAAGGGGGTAATTTGACAGTGTGTGTGTGTGTGTGTGTGTGTGTGTGTGCGCGCGTGCACGTGTATATTTTGTATTTGCTGATCTTCTCTTGGTCAGTGAAGAGCTAACCTGGGTGCTGTGAAACTCCCCAGATATCAATAAGGCCACATTTTTCCTACCCTAAAATAAGGAAATAATATATTCTGTTAGGACTTGTAAATAAAATTATCCTGAGCTTTACATAAAACCTGAGTGGCCTTGGGATGCCCTGGGGCTCACACCATGATGCCCCATCAGTGTTATCCTTCATAGCACCATCCACACTGCACCCCTTTACTTCTCCGTTCTCTAGCACACCTGCTGTGTATAAAGGTGCCTGCCCTGTCTTGTTCTGTAATTTGCCTATTATTGTTGTACTGGTAAACTTGGTTGGGTTTACTTTTTTTGTATTTGTGTATTATTCTGGTATAACATGAGGTTTTAGCTAATCTAGGATAAGAGTTGTTAATCATATTAGCATTTTTCTAACCACAACTATTAACATACATATATTAACTTCACATTTCATCTAATATGCATCTCCCAGAAGTTTTCTGAATACAGTTGTAAAGCTAAAAAGTACTTTTAAGGGGCGCCTGGGTGGCTCAGTGGGTTAAGTGTATGCCTTTGGTTCAGATCATGGTCCCAGGGTTCTGGGAATGAGTCCCGCATTGAGCCCGCGTCTCCCTCTCCTTCTGCCCCTCCTCCTGCTCATGCTGTCTCTCTCTCACTGAAATAAAGAAAGTCTTTAAAATTTTTTTAAAGATTTTATTTATTTGATAGCGAGAGAGACAGTGAGATAGGGAATACAAACAGGGGGAGTGGGAGAGGGAGAGGCAGGCTTCCTGCTGAGCAGGGAGCCCGATGCGGGGCTCGATCCCAGGACCCTGGGATCATGACCTGAGCCGAAGGCAGGCGCTGAACGACTGAGCCATTCAGGCGCCCCAGAAATAAAATCTTTAAAAAAAATAAAAAGTACTTTAAATGGTAGGAATTGTCTCTAGCAAGCTAGGTAATGAGTAGAATTTCAGATGGTGGGTTTGGCCCATGGGGATCAAGATCCCCCATTACATTGTTATTGCTGATAATCACTTATTCCACAAGAAGCATGAGCATTATGGGGAGCTAAGAAATCAGCTGAAGCGTCATCTTTATTTGATGTACAAAATTTGATTTTTTTCCCCTCAGGAAAAATAATTGTTTTAGCCCATATACTTCTGTAAAACATATGTAGATCAAATACTTTTTGCTGAATTAACAAAATAAGCAAAAATAAAAATTTCCTGATTTAGCTCTGTACTTATAGTGTGTTTTCTATTATATGTCTAGTTGTTAATAGTAATTAGTTAATTGAGTGGACATACTTAATATTTGATTAATATGTTAAGAAAATAGTTGAGCAAAGAGTTAACGGTTTAGAATATTTTGTTTCATGGTTGTGTTAATGGGCAACACACATATATATATTTTTATATATTTTTTTTAATAGCAATTGCTCTGGTAAATCAGTTTCTCACATAGAACGTGAGCCCCTTACATGCAGTACTGATGATTAATGCCTGACATGTAACATGTAATGTTTATTAAATGAATAGGGAATTATTCTAAAAAATACTGTATTTGTTCCAGGACCCGATCTTCAGGTTTGCATATCCAAAAAACCTACATGTTGCACCAGGAAGATGGAGGAGAGGTACCAGATTGCAGCTCGCCACGATATGCAGCAAGTGCTTCAAACGTCCAGCTCGACGCTGAAGTTTCTAATATCGCGAAATGCTGCGGCGTTTCAAGGTAAATGTATCTTGATTTCTGAAAGTAAGGAGAAGCCTTGTTAGGCAGTTTTCCTCTTATTATTATACTGGGAAAATTGGCTGGGTTTACTTGTCTTTGCATACCATTATTCTGGTATAAAGTGAAGTTTTAGCTTCTTCTAACCCTCAGAACTTGTTTCCGAGGTCATCCTTGGGCATAAATATTGAGTTGGACTGGGGAAACTGTTACGTTAGTGAAATGGTCCTTGGAAATATATGTCCTTCTAGGGTCCTTCCAGGGCCCCCAGTATTCTGACCTACAGTTTTACTTCAACATGTATGGACATAATTATTAGATTTTAGTAAAGTATTCCATAAAATAAAATCTCATTGCTTTTAACTGGATAGTTATAGATTTGTTTTTAAAAATATGATTTGAAGAAATATATATTTTTTTAAAGATTTTATTTATTTGACAGAGAGATACACAGTGAGAGCAGGAACACAAGCAGGGGGAGTGGGAGAGGGAGAAGCAGGCTTCCTGCTGAGCAGGGAGCCCGATGCGGGGCTCGATCCCAGGACCCTGGGACCACGACCTGAGCCGAAATCAGACGCTTAACGACTGAGCCACCCAGATGCCCGATTTGAAGAAATATTTGTCTGATTTTTCCCCCTGCTACCTCATGTGGTTTTCATAAGAATACCAGTGTAATATATCAAAGTGCAGACAAGTCTGATAAACAGTAAAATAGGATATATTAATTAGATATTTAAGGATCAGCTAAGACCAGAACTCAACCTTAATTCAAACAGTATGTTCAGAAATAAAATTAATGGGTTATAAAATTACAAGGCACATTGGAAAATAGATGATCTTTTTCTTATTTTAGTCATCATCTCTATAAAATTCCTTATTACTACAATAAAATAGCTTAATTTATTTTTCCTTTTATAAAGCATTAGCTTTTCTGTATATGATTAGCATGAAAATATCTAGATTACACTACTTTTCACAAATTTATTACTTTTGTTCAAAGCAAAATATAACTTCTGTTAGTATTCCTTTTTCTTAAGTATATTAATGTCCATCTATTTAAATAATTTGTGCTTTGTTTACATGCATAACTAAAGCACAAAGCTGATTAATTTTTAAAACTATGTTCATTAAATAAAATAAGTACAATAAATCAGAATAAAATTTAAATTGAGATGAAATGTAGTTCATGATGAATTGATTTTTTTTTTGTGGAAACTGACTTGTCAGATTTTAAGATGTTATTATTTTAGTGATTTTTTTTTTTGGATGTCTTAGAAAAAATCTTATTTCTGTTATGGGATATATTCATGTGGAATTGTTGGAGGAAAACATATTGATATGCCTTTTTAAGCAAAAATTTGTGATTTCAACTGGCTGAACCAGAACCAGAAGACTTTTAACTACACACACACAGAGTGATATAATGATTTTGTCTCAATGAAAATGACAACATGCACAATATGGATAATACATTGTAGTGATAAAGGGACAGTGAATAAATCAGTTTGACCAGAACAGGGATGGGGAGTGTGGTAGAGATTCATATGCTTGAAAAGGTGAGCTGGACTCACATGGAAGGAGACTTAAAGCATCAACTTGAGTTTGAGAGTCATTAAAGATTTTTGAGTAGGAAAGCTTCATTATGATTTCTCAACTTTTAACATCAAAACTAAATCCCTTCAAGTAAGAATATTTGGCCGAAGAAAATCATGACCAAAGAAGCCAACTTTTTTGGATAGCAGTGTTAACTGTAGAAGTAAAAGAAAGTGCCATCAGTTGCTAATTTTTAGGCATCCAATGAATGTTCGTGGAACATTTTCTTCTGCCTTCAAAGATACGGTAACCTTTCACACTTTGCTGGATAAATTGATCAAGATAGAGAGATAGAGTACATTATGGAATGCCTGCCTGGCTCAGTTGGTAGAGCATGCAACTCTTGATCTGAGGGTCGTGAATTCAAGCCCCCCATGGTGGCTTTGGAGCCTACTTAGGAAAAAAAAATATATATGTATATAAATGTCTATGTATATATATGTGTATATATATATGTATATGTATATATAGAGAGAGAATACATTAAGTTCAAATGATTGGGAAAAATACAAAACCTGAATCATTTAGATTTTTAAGATGGGTTCAGGCTGGTGAAAAATTTTGGGGATATTGTTAAAAGTTTGGTGACAACTAAGTAATAGAAATACATGGCATTGTCTCTATCTACCAGAGTGTCAGGTAATTTTATATACATTAAAAAATTTTCTCTTTAATACATTGTGTTGTATTCAATAGATTGAGTTTTGCTGTTTACTTAAATATTAATCATAAAAAATGAAAATGGTAGGAACTTTCTTAAATATGACTTGTTATAAATTGTTTTCTGCCTTTGTGAAATGTCAAGTTTTATTTAAGAATCCTGAGAAGGCAAGATAAATTGAGAAGAAATTGGCCTAAAGGCTAACTTTACTGGAACACATTCTCTTATTTACCTGCTTTTAATTTAATAAATAGAGTAAGTAGCTTTAGGCTTATGTCCATAAAAACAAGCTTAAATATGTATGCTGAAAGCAATTTGAGAAATCACATTTACTGTACCATAATCGAGCAGGCACCTTTATCAATAAGTAAAATGCCTAGCATCTAGTTTCTGTGCCATCAGAATATCTGAAAACAATTCAGTCTTTATTTTTCTAAGAAGAAAGAAGCCAACACATTTTATTGGGAAACTGTCTGCTTGAGAGAAATTTAATGGGGAAATCAATTCACTTCTCAAATGATGTAAGTAGATTTTGCTACGTTTTTATTTTGACTTTTAAATAGTTCATTTATGTCCTCTGCTCCAACAGTATTAACCTGTTCTTTTTTTTTTTTTTAACTGGTATTCTGGGTTATAGAAGACTTTAGACTGGTTGGCAGTCTAGATGTAGTATGGTTCCTTCTTTCATGGCTTTTATAGAATCCCGTGGAAGCCTGTTTTTGAAGCAACCCCTTGGATGCGGCCGGTGGGAACGATCACTTGGGTCTGTGGATTTAGTGTGAGATGAAGAAATTGTTAAAGGGAGGGAGGAAACAGTGCTGGCAACTTGTGGTAGAAGACAGAAGGTTATGCCTATACAGTCCACATTCAGCTCTGGAATTTAGCCCTGGAAGGTACATACAGTAGAGTTGGAATCAGCCTATTGGGACAACTCTTCTGTTTTTCTTTTATGGAATTTATTTGTGTTTGTCTCAATCAGATTTTTAAGGAAATCAACAAACAACAGAGCAAAAGTCTGTTTTTGGAAGCGTCCGTAATTATGACCTGGGGCTTCATTATATCCTAAGTGTAGTCATTCAGACAGGATGGAGCATTTTATAAGCTAAAAAGAACAAGCTGGTATCTCTGTGTCTGTTGTTGTTCATAAATACGTGGTGCTGTTTGCAAAGAGGAATGTTGGCTTTGTCACAGTGCAGACAATAACTGTTCTTTATTTTCGGGGCTTCATAACGCTCATGAATAAAGCAGAATAGCCTGAGATAATGCAAAAGAGTTTGCTTCCCTTCAGCTCTTTTACTGTGAGTGTGGGGTTGCTGGCTTTAAAAATATTTTGGAAATATTCTTCATAATGTTTTATTTATTTATACACTAAAGTATGGTGTGACTCATGAAGAAATAGAGGAAGTTGACAGAAAATATGTCATCTGTAAAAAAGCAACTCATACAGTTTTCAAACTTTTCAGTTTTTTCATCTCCATTCAAATAAGATGGTGCAGTTTAATTTTTTTAAATTGAAAACTACTAAACAAAATTTTCAGCATCACTTTCAAAAATTAAAAGGAAGGAAAAAATAAAAAAGAAGGCGTTTTTGGGAGAACACTAATGGAAACTTGTGTTTTGTTGAAACGTTCGGAAGGTAAGGTTAAAAAGCTACATCTTTCCTTTGACATGCACTTTTGCCTATTTCTCTTATTATGTATTTCTAAAATATATGGTAGATACTAAGTCTTTCTTCTGGAGGTTTCCAGTTTTATATATGGCATTTAAAAAGTGTACATTATTACAAAAGACTGAGTGCTAAATGGTAGAACAGGAAAGATTTAACATTTTTATTTATGATTTCATTCTCTTGGCTGATTAAATTTTCATTTCTCCATTGTAAGTACTTGAAAGATTGGCAAGCCTGTCCTCGTGGGTTGAGATGTGAGATTTAGGAATTTAATAAAAAATACATTCCTATTTTTAATGAAATATAGGAATATGTTCAAAATTAAATATCTTTTTTTTTCTAGGACATTTGTGCATTCTCCTTTTGGTGGCCATCTCAATAATTTCCACAATATTTTTGTACTTCGAATGCTTTAGTGATGATCATACCTCTTCAAGTCTCTGTGGGCACGTGTTCCCCTGGGGTTCATATGCGGGCGTGAGACTGGAGCTTACTGAACATGCGCATTGCCAGCTTCATGGCATATTGCGGAATGGTTCTTCTAAGGAGCTGAACCAGTTTAAACTCCCGCAGGCGGTTGCTGTGCTTTGTTGTTGTTCTACTTCCTTCCCAACAATTAGTATTGTCAGAATTTTGGAATATTTGCTGAACTGATAGGTATGAAACGGTATCTTGTTTTCAAAATGTGTGGTTCCCTGATTAGGGCATTTGAATGTCTTTTTGCAAACACATCTTTATTTTTTGTGTTCTTTATTTTCCCTTATGATTATGTCCCATGGAACTGTATACACACTTCGAGGGTATATACCCTGTTGTCAGTGTTTTGTATGTATTTAAGAGGTTTTGTTTTTAGGTACAAAAAAAAGATTTTATTTGAGAGAGACAGAGAGAGCACGAGCGGGGGTATGGGGTAGGGGCAGAGGGAGAGGGAGAAGCCGACTCCCTGCTGAGGGCAGAGCCCAACATGGGGCTCGATCCCAGGACCCCAGGATCATGACCGGAACCGAAGGCAGACGCTTAACCAACTGAGCTACCCAGGTGGCCCTAAAAAATCCTTTTCTCAACTATATTGAGATGTAA